GCGTGGTGCCACTCTGGCCCAGGACAAACTCTGTGTTGTGAGTGGTAAAGCGGCTCTCGTCATAACCCCCGAGTGTCAGAGAACACGGCACGCCGCTGCTTCCCACTGCGAAAATGTTAGCGTCAACTCGCATGCATTCCGCCGGCCAGTTTTCAGCTTACTGTAAGATGCGCCAGCTGTGTAGCCGTAGCTGTAGCTGGGGACCAGTCCGTACTCCTTGACTGCCTGGGTCAAGGGTGACTCGGCAACCTGGTCACCGAATCTGCCTTGATTGATGCCTAGGCCAATGTAGCCGGTGTAGTAGTCGGTCGTGTTGATGGCGGCAACAATTGTGCGGTCCATGAGCATCCTGTCTCCGTTCAATGTCTTGCCGACGACAGTGTCCAAGCCATAGTCGCCATTGCCTTCATTTTGCAGGTAGTCCAGCCCCAGCTGCCAACCACCGAGGGCATCCCACGACGACGAACCAGCCGGGTCAAAGACGTTTCCTCTGGCATTTGCGCAAAGAGGCTCCCCTGATCAGGCGTCAGTTCACATACATGACTGTCGATGAGACGGTGACGAGAGGAGGGGATTTCATTACGGTTATAGCAGCCACCTGACTGGACAACCCAAAACTCGGACAGCGAGGTGCTCACCAGTACATTGACTGATTCTCCAGGGTTTCCGACTTGGAAGCTCAATGTGGACCAGTTGCCGTCGATGCCATACCTGAAGCCCGAGGTTAGCGGCGCCAATAGCTGATGTGTCGGGTCTTTGACCCGACCACTCGGTCGATGGTGTCAACGCGAGGGCGGAGGGGCCTGCAGCTGACGCAGCTATGGCATGAAGGACAACGAGGACGGGAACGTGATATCGCAACATCCTGTCGGGGGCCGTCCGGCGCGACTTTGGGGATGGCAAGGGTCAATTGGTAGCCGCTCTGTTCGACGCATGAGGCTCTCGGTGTGAGTTGCTGTCAGACTCGGGGCTTTTGCGATGTCCTTTTCTTGAGCTACTGAGAAGCCTTCATCTCAAGTATGATACCGGCGGCTACGACCATGATCCCTTGCGCAGGAGATATCGGAATGGCGTAGTCTGACGGGGGGGTGGTTTCGATGGGACGCAGATGAGGGGGATTGAGTTAAAGAGAAGAAGGGAAGCTTCAGGTTAAGGACCTGTACCAGTGAAAGACAGGGTAACGTAATGGGGAGCGATCCAAGGGGGAATCGAGTCACCAGACTGCCCGGTCCAGGGCGCGCTCTAGGGGTAGTGGTAAGAGCTTAGGTCCAGCACCTGGGTCGGTAGAATGCGGCGTCCCCCAAGGCAAGACAAGCTAACCTGCCAGGCTACAGGGCCACCTTGGCAAGACAGATAGAGGCTAGCCCGTTAACCTTCAATCAGCTGGGATCGCCGGTCTGGTCAATAGGCCCCCCCTGCTGTATGCTGCTGCAGTCTCCCCCCCCCCCCCTCCGCTCCTCTCCCCTGAAGGGGGCCCTCCTCATCTTCCACTGGCCCCGTCGTCTCCTCCCTCCAGCTCCATCGATCCCGACATCCACTGTCACGGACGGAGCGTGAAAGAGGAAGGGTGGGATCCAGAGGCCCCTCCCCCCTTCCCCGTCCGTCCCCTGACTGGTTGGATACACGAAAAATCCCGGGTTTCGAGGTTGCCAGGTCCTAGGCAGGGATACATGTCTACATGTACATGGTATGCCCACGCGGAGGTCCCTGTCCATCGCGAGGTGAGATTTTGCCTCATTCGCCTTCCATTTAAACTTCAAAGTCCTTGCGAGTCTGCTAGGGCCATGGGCTCTGCTGTCTCCTATCACGACTGACCGAAACCCCGGCTACGACGTTGCAGGGGTCACAATAAGGGGGGGCGGAGTGGGAGGTCTGATCAGGACTGGGTTTGTTGTGGAATGAAGAGTGCATCTGGGCTGTTCGCAGGGTCATCGGAGAGGGAGAGAGAGAGAGAGAGAGAGAGAGAGAGAGAGAGAGAGAGAGAGAGGGCCAGACGCGCTGGACTGTTGCTGCTGCTGCTGCTTGCGGCGTCGATGAAGCCACGTTCCCGAGGACGTCGCCGGTCTTGTCGATCTGTCTTCTGTCTGGCCACTGGGCCTCTCAGGGTCCAAGACGTCTTGGTCTTGGCAGTCGGCGATGGGAGAGTAACAAGCGGGCTGAGTCGACGTCAGCGTGGCAGCTGGGCCGTTTCCTGGTGGTGCGATCAGAGACGGAGCAGGGCGCCGCTCGGAAGGAGTTGCTCGCTTTGTGATGCCCCACAGAGATCGGATCTTGAGCCAAGCGGGCCTGTCGAAGGAGTTGCGACGGTCTCGCGGGCGCGCAAGCTGGTGAGACACTGAATAGACTTTGATCAACCCTGTTCTGTTAGCCGTGGCATGAGAAAAATTGCCGAAGCGTGTTCAAAGCAAAGCAGCGGCTCGGGGTCCTCGAGCGTCAGGGTGGAAGGGAAGGACCGAGGACAAGACAAGGTTATTGTGAAAGACGCTATGCATGGGAACTTGTCTGGCGTTGGGGGCCGAGGCATGTTACGCGCAGCTTCCTTCTTCGGTGGTTTGTGTGTCATGACCATGTTGCTTCGACGATTCGATCCGGTCGCGTGTATGGTGGCCATGTTACTTTGACCACCAGATCCGGCCGTTAGGCCCAAGATGCAAACACCACGACGCTCGCCAGTTGCAGCAAAGACGACAGGGCGCCGAGGGACTGGCGGCGCACACCGACGAGGTAGGCAGCCGCCATTTTTGCAGAAAGGCTCCGGAAAGGGGACCATCCAAATCTAGGTCATTCGACAGCTCAAGCGTGGTTGATGACTCCAGGCAATGTCGCAGACGGCCATGCCAAGAAATCTTCAGCAAAGTCTGGTGGTGGTCTGGCCCTGGCGACATTGATTGTTGTAATTTTGTGGAGAAGGGGAGGGGGCCTTGTCTTTGCTTGGATCATGGTCCTGTGCAGGCCTTGGGCGAGAGGTGCGTGGCAACTCGATCCAGAGTGCCGGGTTCGGCGCGGTCAGTGGTCTGCTTGGTTTGCTTGGTTTGCTTGGTTTGCATGGCCCGTCACACTCCATGTCTTACTTGAGGCGGGCCATGATTGGGACGCGATGCGACTCGCGTGAGTAGCGAGGCGAAGGCACTTGAGGGCCAGGTGCTAGGTGCTAGGCGAGGTGCTAGGTGCCAGGTGAGGTGCTCGGTGCTGGGCGAGGTGCTAGGTGAGGTGCTCAGTGCTCAGGCTTTCCCGTTTGATCCAGAGCCGCCCGACGTAGCGCCGCCTTCCTCTCCTTGGACAACTCCCTGCAGTAAGGTAGGTAGGTACTGTAGGTACCTGGGTGGCTTGGGTGGTTAGGGACGCAACAGCCAAGGAGCCGGCCTCATGCATCTATCCGGGTGCCCCGCTTCCACCTTCGCTAGTGAGCGCCGCAGGCCAAAGAACCTGCCTGTTCTGCCTCAAGCTCCCTCCCTTCACTTCCCGCATGGGATCAATCAACCGTCGGTCGGGCCACTCCACAACAAAGTCCCTGCTGGTTGATGGGTTGATGAGCAGCAGCACTAACCTTCTCTCCCCCCTTGCTCTCCTGGCAATACCCATTGTGGATGAACATCTTATCTCCTCCCTGTCGGTTCACAGACAGACAGACTTGCTTCTCATGCAGAGGTGGCAAGCAAGCCTGCAACGATAGAACGCCTCAATATCGGCTAACTCTTCTAGAACGCCTTCTGCTCCATGGTCGCGCGTCTGGACCTTCATGTACACACGTCCGATGCACCTCTCATCTTGTCCTCATCTCCAGTCGGCTCCCAGATGGGGCAAGCCTGATTGAGGGTGGTACCAGCGCCGCCTCGACTGCACGGATAGGCCTGACTCGATCCGCCCCGACGCGTCACTTTATTACCCCATGGCAAGGCGCGCCCCAAAGCAAACCCAGGCTCGACAGACGCCAGTGGGCAGACCAGAGAAGAGCACCAGAGACGAGCATTCTGACTTTGTTGCAACGCAACGGCGTCGCCATGGCGCCGCCCGCGGAGAGATCGAATCCTTCCCATCGACCACCCGAGCATTGACTGCCGTTGACCCCCATCAACTCCCCATGCATATCATCCTGCCGCCAAGGCGTGACTGCCATCCGCGTTTTCCATGGAGCCCCGTTGTCCGTCCCAGCCTTGTTCGACCACGGCCTGTTTTTCTCCTCTTCGCCGTGGCAAAAAGGGAGGTCAGGCAAACAAATCGTGCCCGGCCGCTCGAGCATGACAGGATCGCCATGAATAAAACTGACCGAACCCGATTTACAATGTGTTGGCCAACGTCACGCCTAGGACGGCTATGCCCCCCCTTCCCTCAGACAGATAGATCATGGGCCCCCGGCGGCATCGGGTGAGCATATTCTACGCCGCCCCTGAGCAGGCCACGCCGCCCATCTTTCTCCTGCTCTGATCTGTTCCCGACCTTCATCATAGTCGTACGGTATTACAGGGCGCCATGCAAATTAGCACGGCAAATGGGTACGCGGCTGCGCTAGGTTGTGGCCCGGCCGTTGTCCCTCCCATGTCGCCGAGCTCCCCACGGTCGTCATCTCAATTGAACCCGCCTGCAACTTGTCATTGGGGGCCAAAGCCCCGAGGTGCACAGTAATAAGCACCCCGGACCAGTTCGGCGGCGGAGCTAGGTACAGATCAGGCGTCCCCCTGTGCTGGTCATGCCTGGACTGGTGCTGGTCAGCATCTGACTTTTAGGAGGGCTGCGGATCTGCCGACGATGGACACCCATGTGCCCCGGCTGCGCTGGCGCCGCTGCTAGTGTGCATCCCCCCCTGGCCCCTCACCCTGGCCTCTGAGTTTACCTTGGTCGAATGCCCACGCGCTCCCGGATTTCAAGTCGGCACCTCGTCGCCTGTGCACCCTATCCTCACTGACTGGCTTCAGACACTTGAGGACAGCTCGCCGAGGAGGAAAGCGACCTGACGCAACAGTCCACGCGGCGCGCCGTCTGCTTCTCTCAATCGCTACCTGAAGTATCGATTGTCGCCGTGGCAGCTTCGTTCGCCTGCCATACTCTCATTTCATCTTTTCAGCTTGGCTGCGGCGGCGCGTGAATCTGACTGCCATTCGAACCTCCGAACCATATTGACACGACTCGCTTCTACCCAACTGGTCGACACATCGATTCCAGGCCTTCTTTTGACGCCGTTTGCCTGTCCCTTCCGAGCCGACGACAGTGACGGCAGCCGGTCAGCATGAGGCTCGCTGCCGCGGTGCTGCTCTTCCTGCCACTGGCTGTATTGCCAGGTCCTGCTTCGGCGACGAGAGCTGGTAAGATTCCTCCCTGAGAACCCTCTCTCAACCTCCCACTAAGAAAACTCTCAGCCGATCCAGTGGCATTGGTGCGGCGAGGCTTCAATGGGTGGAATGCGACGACAACATCAGTCGCTTCAAATCCTACGCCAGCTCAGATAGACACTGGCTCGAGCAATGTTGCTACTTCACATGTACCGTTGGGCCTCATTTCGTCACAGGCCGACAGTTCCTTCGTCACCGAGGCGAAGTCGACTCACGATAGTTCGTCCACGCAATCTCATGGCTATGTGGATCAACCGGAGGACCCGGTGTCGCCTGCCCAGATTCGCACTCTCGCGATGCCTCCCGAGCAATCACACGATGCTCTTACGAATCCGTCGCCGCTTGGACAGCCGTACCCGCGTCCGCTGTCGAGCTTTCGACCCAAGTACTTGAACACAACTACGAGACTCGAGCAATCTGCGCCATCGCCCACCGTCGATAACTCACCAGATGGCTCTTTCAAGATTGCCATCACCTCGGCGCCTTTCCCTGCTGGTCCCCTCTCGCTCGCCCCAGAACCCTCCGGATCCTCAGAACAGTCAGCCTCGCCTAGACGCCGTCCCCGGCCCCCGGTCTATTCGCCACTCAATCTGACTAGTACGACAACGAACCTGGTGAATAGCAGCGATGAGCAGTCTTCCACTGAGACAGCAGATGACTGTTCCACGCCTGCCAGTGGTTCCAAACCGACGACGTACCTCATCGTCTTTACAGCAACGACAACGTTCTTCGGTGACCCCGCCGACTATGTGCCTGCCTTCCCTCCCATCGAAACGCCTGTTGCATGCGTAACACCAACGCAGACGCCGCTTCACCCTGATGAGGTAGGGGAACCCGGTTTCGGGGGAGAAGACCCCGGTTTTGGGGAAAACGAAAACGAAGAGCCAATGCTTACAACGTTTTGCTTCACCTCTCTGGATTGGGTAGCCTGTGCGACCGACATTGTCCATCCTCCTGGCGCCGTTTCCGTTCCAGGCCACAAGGAGCCTGGTACTGTCACTTTCATCACCACCGACAAGAATCCCGCCGTTGTGTTTAGCCCGATGACCACGCCCAACTATGGAAAAGACACGAAGAATCCGCATGCCGGAGACCATCACCCTGCCGATGGTACAAGGCCCCAGAGACCTCACCCGGCTGATCCAGGCGGACCGAAAGATCTCCCTCACATTGACAAGCAGCCTGCTGCTACCACTTTCCCAGTCACCTTGGAGCCAACAAGAGTGATCATAGGCGACCAGACCATCTCTTTACTGCCCACTCAGACAACAACAGTGACAGTGAGCGGCGAACCCTTCGAGATCAACCCTACTCAAGTTATCGGGGGCGGCAGCACTATCGAAAGGCCGTGGAACGGGGGAGACGGCAGTGGGTTCTGGATCGGCCCAGGCGGGAACGCCGGTTCTGAGGCAGTTCGAAGTGGTGGGCCGCCCGGGAACACCGGAGGCCACGGACCAGTCGGTGGGCCATTGCCTCCTGCGACTACGACCGTTGGTAATGTCCCTGTCGTTGTCGGGCCGCCAGGCTCCACGCCTGTGGTGATTATCGGCGAGATGACTATCTCCGTTCCGCCCCGCGGGACGACAGTGACTGCTGTGGTTCAAGGTACAACGGTCACGGTCGACCAGACTGCGATTCGTTTCCCGAGTGCAACGGTCCCCATTCATGCAGCGACTGCGCAGGCTGTTGAAACGGAGCATGTGGTTGTCGGCGGCCAGATGATCACTGCCATAGGCTCGACGGTGGTGGTCATCCATGAGACAACCATCACCTATGGGCCGGGGATAGCAGTTCGAACGGAAGAAGTTGATGGTGGGACTGTCACCATAGGGCCTAATGGCGTCGTGGTCGACGAGCAGACGATCGGCGGCCCCAACGCTGGACCGAAGCAGACGGCCTACGAGATCGTCGGCGGTGTGACCATTACACAAGTCGGCGCATCGATCGTGGTGATCGAAAGACTCGACGTGGACCATTGGACCCAATGCCCACACTACCTACACGACGGAGATCAGGGGCGAAACGATCATCATCTCTCCCGAGGGCGTCACGGTCGAATCGCTGAGCTTCACCTTTCCATTTGGGCCGACGGTCGTCACATCGATCAAAGCTACTCCAACCGCGACGCTCATGGATCCCTCAGCCTCGCAGACACAGAGAAGCACGAACAACGGGATTTCAAACGGTGGGACCGCTAATGGCGACGATGATGACGAGGGTGGTGGAATAGGTTCGCATGAGGCGCTCGGCGGAGCGTTGTACAACTTGATATTTTGCATGCTGTTTGGCGTTTGGATCATCTTAGGGTACGTGCTCTGAGGCCCAGGCATGTATAGACATGGCGAAAGTGTTTTTTCTTTTTCTTTTGGGGGGGTTTTGGTATTCGGGGGCATCGGAGCCCTCGGCCACAACGGCCTGGAAAAGCTCACCGGCGAGATGAGAGGGGCTTTGGCTGGACTCTGCCAGCTGAATTACGACTAATGACTCGAGGTATTCAAAATGGGAGGGCGTTGGCTGCGCAAGGCGGCGCCCATAATGTACGAGAAGCAACACGGGCACGGCTGTCATCTGCTGTATGCGCTCAGCAGATGAGGAGGTGCAACAAAGACAACATGGAAACCATGAAGGCGGCTCAAGCTGCGCACTTTACATAATAATGTAACATCTACCCCAATCGATGCGGTCATCATGAGCCTGTTTCTGTCTTGTCGATGGTGAATGGACCATATAGAAACCCCCTTTATGCATCCCGGGGTTTGGCTCTTTGCCATGTTTTGCCATATCATCACTGACGACCTCTTTCCCATGACAATCCCCCTGAGGCTATATTTGTTTGCCTGTGTCCTTGGTTGGGCGATGAAGATTTGTTGACAATCCTCTACGCAGCCATCTCTGCTTCGGTGCTCTACCAACCATGCCGATGGAGAACAACCACCTTTAGCAGGAGCGCCATCACGAACGGGCTGCTGACAAGGGCTGCGCTAGCTCAAGGGATTTCATCCGCGTCATCAAAGGTCCACCTGTATGTAGCTCGTATTATACCTCTACCTATCCCACACTGTCGGCGTCTCCATCGACGGGATGCTAACGCGCGGGTCAACGATAGGAGAAGGGGGGGGGGAGCGGGGGCAGGGTTCAACACAGTTGACAGCGCACATGAGTGCTGCTGATCCGTCATGTTCGAATAGCGGTGAGCGCGCCCTCGGTGAGACCAGCAACAGCCTCCTGCTTGGGAGTCTCAAGCCACAATCCATGCCGCTGGAAGTTTGAGGGGGGGGGAGGGACCCATGCGCATATGGGAAGGGCTGTCCAGGCAAAGTACACTTAGTGAACTAGGCGTTGGCTTGAAGGGGAAGGGGGGAAAAAGGCCCCGCGCGGCGTGGAGAGAGAGCGCCACCGAGAACTACCGGGCGCCATGTTTTGACCTCTCTTCGCGGCGTGCCGGGAGCGTGACGTCGATCTCCTGTCCCCAGCGCAGCCTACCACCGCCCCGCCCGTATTTTGAGGTGTGCAGTAGCGGTAGGGCCCGTTGGCTACCGAGCCGGTATTATGCGTTGTTGCTACATCTCGTATTTTGAAACGCGGGCGCTGGGGAAGAGGGGGGGGGGGGATATGCCTCTGGTGGTATGCAGGATTTGTGTGCCTTCTTGGCCTGGCTGATGGCGAAGGCGAGATGTGGTGACGAGTTGGCGATTGCGATTGTCTGGCTTTCGTCAGTCACAGCACAATGACGAGGGAAGGGTATGGCTCTTGATCCTGGTCGTGGCACTGGAGAGGTCATGTTCAAGGATGAGTGAGACAAGGCTGGCTGGATTACGAGGCTTGGCGGGGATGTTCGCGTTAGTGCGGGAAAATGTCTGTGATGGGCGTCATTGCTACCGGCAACATTATCGGGGGGTTCGAAATCTGTCATGGGGGTGGCAAAGACCTCGCAGTGGTGAAATTCATACAAGCGTGGCATCTCATCTTTGCCCTGGCATGGGCAGACGGCCACGTACAAGACTGTCTTTGATAATTGCCTGTGTCGTACCAGCACTGTGCATGTGATATCACTGTCACATTGCCGGAAGGCACGGAGCGAGCGAGGTCCGCAGTATAAGCCTTTAAGTTGTGAGTAATGGGACCAGACGTCTTGATTGACTGGAAGACTCGACTTCAACACACGATGTTCAATGACTATCAACCAGCAGCGACACAATACATCACCCTTTGGGCAACCGGTGGCGCGAGCTAAAGTAAAGTTTCAAGTGCCAGAAAGCTACCTAACTATATCCAACGTGATGTCGGGTGAAGGGAAGAACTCATTAACAGCTGGCTTCAGCCGGGAGAAACGAAAACACGGGACCGGCACACAGATGCAACGCATAGCAACACAACAGGTCACCTCACATTTTCCCCTTGCCCTTCCCCTTGACCTCCAGCGAAGGGAAATCCTCCTGCTGCTCGTAGGTAGCGTCCGCACTCTCAGGGCCCCCGTATGTGCCCTGATCCTCCATGCTCAGCTTCAGGGCAAGTGCCAGGTCTTCTTCTTCTTGGGTCATCGGGGCTTGGCTGGACGACCCGCCGTTGGCGCCTGAATGCGCTGTGTAGCTTGCGGGGGGTGACCGGGAAGCAGACCGCTTGCCCTTCTTGGCCGACTTGGATTTGATGGTGATGGGCACCTCGTAGTCGTTGGAGTTGTTCCCGCGTGGCGAGTGGCCATGGTCGTTGACGCCCTCGAGGAGCGACAGGCGGAGAGCCTGCTGAACCTGCATCTCATACTCGCTTTCTTCGTCCACGGTTGGGGGAGGACTGAATCCGTTGGCAGGCAGGCCGTTCACGCTGGGGTCTGGCGTGACCGTGGACGCCGTGCTCTCGCTGAACGACGAGGCAGTGTCAAAGCTGGCGTCGCCCGTGTCGCTAGCACTGGTACGGCGCTGCTCATCAGTGTGGAAAGACTCCTCAGAGATCATCTGCGCATATCGAACGGCCTCTTCCTCCGTCAGGTCACCCAACGCACCCACTCCAAAACGATTGCGAAGCCTCGTCTGCTCACGGCTGCGATGCTCTTGCTCGAGACGAAGCTCGGCCGTCTCGGCCGCAATGTAACCTGATACCTTGCCGCCCTGACGGCGCGTGGCGAGGCGGCCGTGGATGTCAGCGTGTCGAAGCCGGCGCTTACGACCAGGTGGTTGGCTTGTTGCGCTGTACGACCAGTATCGCAAGAAAGCGCCAAATGCTGTGACGCCGCGTAGAGCCGTTGGGTCGGGGTCGAGGAAGATGGTCCGGGCGGCCGTGTAATTCTCGTTGGCCAGAGCGGGATTCATCGTCAGCATGTGCCTAGGCACACGCCCAGATGGCCTGGCGTTCAGAGTGCGCAGAGGATCTAGTGATGACGCGAGCGGATCCCAGGCCTGGACCAAGCCATCGCTGCCACCATGGACGAGGTACAAGCCGTTGAGGGCCAGGCAAGAGATCTCAGGAGATTCAGTCTGGATGATTCGGACCGGCTTCATATCCTTGACAAGTGGTCCAGTCTCGCGCATGTTCCAAAGCAGGACGACGCCGCTCTTGGTGCCGATGGCGAGCATGCGGGCGCTGCGTCCAGGGATCTCAGCCAGCGTCTCAGCTGTACGCGGCGTAACGCTGATTGGGGTGCCTGCGTGGGATGTGCCCTTGACCGTTTCCCTCAGAGGGTCTTCGGCCGATGTTACAGCGGCGTGTAATGAAACATCAATGGCGGATGCCGTTATTTCGCTCTTGTTGTAGCCAGCAAGGCCGAAGACGGTGACGCCCCAGTCGCTCAGAAGATTAGGTGCCGGAGTGACGGTGCCAGGAGGAGTCTGCAGAGGGGCGGCAACGGACGCTGGAACGACTGGCTCAGGCTCTGCTCTGTTCGCAGTGGCCCCCTTGGCTCCAAAGATGGACGCCGGCGCTGGTTCAGGTTGAGCCTCCATCTCAGCGTCTTTCAGCTCAGAGATGCGGGTTTGCTGAGGCGTCTTGGGCAGCAGAGATCTCATGTATCTCGAAACTTTGGGACCTTGTCCCTTCTCCCACCCACATTCGATGACGATGATGGTTTCTCCGCCACCGTTCCCATCATCATGGGCAAAATCGACCTCGAGCACACGCTTCATGTCCCAGCCTTCGCAAACTTTGCGAAAGTGCGACGGCTTGTGTCGAAGGAATTTCTCGATCTCGCGTGCTTCGGCAGTGAGTTGCTCCTTGCTCAGCTCCATGGAGTCCGCAGGTGATCGAGGAGTGTAAGCGCCTCGAATGGCGTTTTTATCCGAGTCATCAGGGCGAGCGCGGCGACGCGTCTGCTCAACGAGCTGCCAGTACACAGATCGCCCTGCGAGCCACGCATTCTTGGTCACATCCTCGCCCTTGGCTCGGTCGAGGCTCGACGTAGGAGGCTCCGTGAGGAAGAAGACCTCGCCGAGGGCATTCAGAGCAACAGCCCACGCGCGCCTGGTGTTCTTCCTCCTCTGGTTGTATTGATCATCAACCTTGATCGAGATGATTGGCACGCCGGGGCTTAGCACCCAGCGGGCAGTCATGTCGCCGTTTGAGAATCGGTGACCGGTGTTGTCCCCACCCAGGGCGTACGCAGTGACGACGCCAAGAGTCGAGCCTGTCAAGATGCCGACTATGGAGAGTGTCATGTACGGGACGGCGGATGACTTGGCGATCCAGAGACTCGAGATGGCCTCAGAGAGCTCTGGGATGCGAGGGATGTCAGGGTAGGTATCGACCACGCCCGACTCGTGAGTAAGGTAACGACCGCGCTTCTCGTGAATGGGACGGTAATACGCACGGCCACCAGGGTGGCCTTCACCTGCGAGGAGGCCGTAAGGCACACTGACGTCCATGACATTTGGTCCAGCGGCAGGCCCCTCGCCAACACCATAGGGCTCCAAGTCTGGAAATACCTCGTCGAGCTGCTGAGAGCTGAACGGCTCATCGAAACCCCACTTCTCGACTTTGCCAGAAGTTGGATCGCTCATAGTAGCAAAGCCTAGGTCCGCAGCGCCATGGACGGCACGTGGCGGCTTCTTGCCGTTTGAGAAGATGGCATGTAGGCTTGTCACAGCCCACGGCAACTTTGAGTTATACGTCAAGACAGCGCTGATCTTCTTGGTTGAGCGCGCCGAGGTGCCGATGCCGCCGGATGCTCCAGGTTTACCCCTGATGAGACCCCTGAGTAGGCGAGTGCGCAGTAGGTATTCGCTCCTCCAAGTGGCCAGCGACGTCAGGCGGGCGAAATAACGAGCCTCTGATCGGACGAATTCTGTCGTCGCCTGTTCCCACGGCCCGGTGGCCTCTTTCTCAGGCTTGTCTGTCAAGCTCTCATGCCCAGGGAAGTAGCGCAAGAATGCCATCCGCCAGGCGTGGGGTGTCGTGACCAGCGAATAAAACCGCTTCGAAACGAGCGCGACCGCCGCGTGAGAATCGGGATGCAGGTGGGATAAGACATGGGTCAAAATTTCTGTACACAATGCATCAGCCTCCAGTCCTCCAACCGCGGCTGGTTGTTCTCCCATGACTTACCGTTGGGGAAATCAGTGAGCTGGACACCATCAGACCGCGAATCAACACGCTTGATGACCTTGAAGCCAAGCGCCTGTCTAGGCGTGGAGGGCGCCAATGCATTCTCGTAATCGGTGATTCGTTGACCCGCTACGTAGTGACGGCCATCTGGGTGTCCATTGCGGATGCTCAGCAGACGAAGTCGCTCATCAAGCTGGCCGGCGTTGACGCCGTCAAGGCCGTCCGCGATGGAGTGCGGAGAGGCACCGCTGGAGCCGACAGAGTGCTGCGGCAGATGCGCAGGCCTGAGGGGCCGTAGTTGGTGCTGGGAGCCATCTTGATTGGGGGTGAGGTGTTCCTGGGAGTCGTTTGGTCGAGAGCTATCTGATGACTCAGTAGGCCAGGTCTGCATAAAGTTGAGAGGGTGGTGGCGATGGACAGTGACGGAGGACTGTGCAGGGGGACCTTTGCACAGTCTGTAGAGCAATGACGCGAATGATGATTTGGAGAACGGCGTGAAGGAGTAGGAAGCTGCTTGAGGAGCCGGCAATGTCAAGTGTGTTGATGATGTTTGGAGATGCAGGTTACCAGGCAAAGTTTCGCGTCTGGGGATCGTGACGCATCACACCTGGAGAGTTTAGCGGGAGATTACGGCGTCACCACGGCCCCTGCACGACTTCGACTGGAACATCTTTCGGCCCGGTGCCCCCACGGCATGGTCGGCTGCGCCACTTTTCCTACCAGCGTGGCGTAAGGGCGTATATCGCGAATTCGCAACGTCTGTGCGGCGCTTCCACAACGGCTCTTATTTTCATATTCGGCAGTCATCGGTTTGCCTACTTTGGCTTTCTGGCATACCAGATTAAGCTCCGGCAACATTGAAAATGAAAATGCCAGGACAGATCAAATTCCTGTATTGACGGGGTGAATGCCTGCTGAACCCCATCGTCTGTACGAGCTTTCGGGCAAACTATTCGCCAGGGATATCAATTCCTAAAATCCGAGCACCACTCCAGAATCTTATATCAACATGGCCTGATGTCTGAACAAGTATGATACATGCCCCGCCAAACAGTGCACGACGTACGGTGCATCAGGCTCCTCGATCATGCCTTGGTACGTATGCACAGGTTGTGGGTTGTGGGCTTGACGTCTGTCGGTCCCTCCCATCTTGTGACATGTCGACAACGGCCTTGCCAACTGGCGCTATCAGTAGTCAGAAAGCCGGTGCGTCAACGACGGCAGCGGACAAGGGGGGTGATGTTTGTCCCAAATGCGTCTTGAGGCCCGCACCGGTGAGTTCGGAATCGGGCGAGCGTGACAAGGAGTGATCAGGCCATCCGATGAGGCATCATGACAAAGCCTCAGGGGATCTGGGGTGCGCTACCCATGCTGGGGCTTCGCCATACAGGGTGCTTCGGCCCCATTGCCGAGAGCGGCAATTTATTCCTTACCTTTCGGGCGGGATTTGTCGCCAAGGCAGACACGCCAACGAACCCGGAGTACTGGCAGAGGTAATGTTCGGCAACAAGTACAGTACAATAAACATACCAGTTGAGGAGCAGGCTTGGAAAGGGTCATGAAAAATATGACGTCCAACCCCACGTGTGGCAAAGTCAGGAGGGGAAAGGATCTCACATGCACGCACGGGTTTGGACGAGGAATACAAACAAACAAAGTGTGTTTGTCTGGCAGCCCCTCCCAAGTCTGTCCCTTTCCCCTGTGGGACTGTTGGTTGGGGCGCTCGTCTCGGCCCGCGATGGCAGGGGTCAGTTCGTGGAGCAAGACAGCCCCCAGGGCCAGGGACGATGAACAGAGTTTCGATACTGGGAACCTTCCCCTCTCCCGGTACATCGAGTAGGATTGAGCCTGACGCGGCGCCGAGTTCCTCGAAACCTCGGGGCCGACTATTGGAGACCATACCTCATCCACCAAATGTGGTGGTCACCAGACAAGGGGCATGGTCAATGGTAAGGGAACCGAATGGTTCCCCGTTCATGAGGATATTGAGCTAACAAGTGCCGCATCCTTAGCTTCCGTGGACAAAGAAAATTCACGGGACAAGCCGACATCGTCAAATTCCGACATCATTGCGCGGATGGCCCTCAGAGGGGCTACACGCCCAGTCTAGGGTGAGAAAGTCTGTCATATGGTCCGGTCTGTCACGGCATCTGTCTGTGTGATCAGCAGCTTGGTGCATTCGGCGACATGGCAGTTGTCGTCCTGATGGGGAATCTCTTGCATGACAGGGCGGAGGTATGACATCGGAATGCTTCTCGAAGAGCTGATCACACTCGCAACCTGTCCAGAGGATCCAATATGGCTTGTGCTGATGACAAACCGCGGCTCGGAAGTTGACAGCAGGGGGCAGAGGTCTGACGAAGTGTTGGTGCACTGGCTTTGTCTCGTCTAGGGTCGTCTGGAAGGTTATCTAGTCTTGGCACAGGCACACCCCTGGCGGTTGACGACGCTACGAAAAGGGCACGGCTTAACGCAGTTGCAAATTCGGCCTTTCGATGGTTTCCAATGTGCGCGGTCCCTGTCCAGGCCAATCTTCGAGGCCAACGGACAGGTCAGGGACAAGTCAGGTAGGGTCCAGCAGCAGGGTCGACAACGACTCGTGCGTGCACGCGTACTGTACACGGAGATTGCGTTCGGGGCCGTGGTTGGCTTGCTGATCCCGCTGGGATTCCCGGGCAGATCTTCGTTAGGTACCGACGATAATAAGACTGAAGGCTAAACAGGCGAGTGTGACGACACGGCAGCAACGTCGGGATGACAAAATGCTACCTCTCTTTCCGCACTCTCATTGCGTCCCACTCCGCGGCACCGCGAGTTTGGGAGATGAAGAAGGTTGCGGGTTCGTCGGAGCCGGGCCAGACGCCGCTGAGGGGGTTGCTGCACCTGCTGGCCGCACTGGTTGTAGTGCAGGTGCGGGGGACCGCGGCTTTTAGGCAGGTTGTATCGCCGGCGGTTGATGAAAGGAATGCTCGCAGAAACCAAGGTTGGGGTTTTGCCGTCGTGCGGACGCCACGGAGTCTTTGAAGTCCCCGCGACGAAGCACAACATGCACGAACGTGCAATGTGTACGCAATTGCCATATCTCTGACCATGCCCACTGTTATCCGTCACCACAGGCAATGATCTGGCGGTCAGTCAACGGGTGGCTGACATTAGTCGCTGCCATTGCGACAAGTCGACACCCATGACATGTCGCCGTCGAGGCGCTTGATAGCGGGAGGCTGAGTTGGGCCTCGCATAACTCCAGTCTACAGGCGGGTACAGACTGGCGGGGGACAATGTCATTCGGGTGTCGATCGATCGGTGCGCGGTGGAGGGTGCTGAAGCGACGGGTCAGAATGACACCGCCACCAGCGTCCGCCAGCCCCAGTGTCTATCACCTCAAATGAATGTTCCGAGCTGTCAAAGGTGGCCTGACAAGCACCGGAAACTGGTGACTCTGCGCGGGTGAAGGTGTGCATACATGGAGGCGATGGCGAATGGAGGGGAGGGACGAGAGAAGCATAGAAAGGGAGGGGGGGGCTTCCAAGCATGTGGTAAGGACTGGTAAGGACATGCCACCTGGCCCCGTCAGGTGCCGGGGGAAAGGGGGACCACAGGGACGAAGAGCTTTGAAAGCTAATGCAGAAGCGACTGGATGGGCAGTAGTAGCCCAGCACTGTGTCAAGTTTCTCTCTCCCACGCGCGCGCTCACAGGCTGGGGCGAGACCAGGCGGTCGCAGTTCGTGTTCGAGGTAGCGCGCGACCTCCGGCTGATTGAGTTGCGTTGGCTTGCTGCTTGTGTTGAGTTCCCGGCTGAATGGTGAATACTTTCCAGCTTCCACACTGCTGGGACGCAAATTGATTAACGGCATGTCTCGCCCGCTGAGCCGTGGGTATCGAAAATTGGAGGGTAGCTTCGGCGACAGTTCTAGGCCAGGCTGGACTGCGTCGCTGTGAGACTGGCGTGTGCGCCCACGCGAAGTGGCCACGCAGTCGAAAATTTGGTGTGTGGTTGTTGTGCTTTGCTTTGCTGTGCCGCTTTTTGCTGTCCGGTTCCGGCAGACTGGTTGAGGGTCGACTTTCGTGCGTCATGATGGGGAGCCTTCGCCCCCCCCCCTACCTCTCTGTGCAGTACATTACTCGTACAGTGCCCAGCACGACATTACGTTGAGTTTCTGTTTGGGATGCATCGGGGGAGCACTATCTAGATATATATATATATCTATATATATATGTGCCCGCAGTAGCAGAGGAATTTTAGAATATGTTAAAGCCCGGGTTGAGGCAAAGCCGGACTAGAATTGATCTGAAGAACGAGAACAATGCCACAATGCTCTTCACAACTCTAATGGCCCGGCAAAAAGCGTGGGGCGGCCAAGCTATGGTCTAGATCAGAAGACTTGGAACTGAGAATGGTCAGATTTGACTGCGGCAGCGGCTGGATTTGTGGCGCGCAGTTAGGCGCACTCGCGGAAAGGTTCGCGGGTCTCACAAAGGCTACCGCTTGAACATGGAGCGACGTCCGTGGCTTTCTGGTCCCTTGTTCCCCCTGCTTGTTGTGGGTTGGAAGTGGACGTGCCCTGCTCCCAACACACACTCTCTTGCCTGTCCGCCTGGCAGGCACGGTACTCAAGCCAGAAGCCAGACCTGTCCCGCAGAAATGCGCCGGAGCTCGTCCGGAGTTACTGTACGGAACACTGTGTACTGTCTTGCATCCTCGGACGTGGGCTCCCGTTTGGATGGTTCGAGGTGGAGTTTCACTGGGGATTGTCTGTGCCTAGTCTGTTCACCAGCAGGGGTGAGAAAGGGAGGGGGGGGGGCGGCCAAGATCCATACCCAGGCATCTTGGCCATCTGCCCGGGGTCAAGGTGCTCAGAAAGCTCCGTGCTGGTGTGCATCGGGCGCCTGGGGCGCTCGCCAGTCATCTTTTCACAACGGCCCGGTCACCACCATGTTTTCCATCGTTTGATCTGGCTGTTGGAGAGTGGGGAGGAAGCAGAAAAAAACAATCATCGGAATACTGAAAAATGCCACTTGACGTGACGCGATGTCACTGGCCATCCATCTCCTGGTTTGCGCTTTGAGTACCCTAGCCTGCCTTACAGACCAGACTTCGCGTGGAATGTGAGACACACCGTGGTTTCCCATTCTTTCTTTCTCGAAAATGCTCAAAGAAGCACATGGAGGGGCTTCCCACGCGCCTCGAGTGGGCTCTAGGTCCCAGTGCCAGGGAAACCGACAGCGCTAGAAGGCACCGTCTACTTCGCAGGGTGCTGCGCCTGGAACCGTCATCTTAATGCTTCGCAGGTCGGGTGCCCGCCCCCCTCTGCGTGCGGGCCGCTGGACCACCAGTTGCCCGCCTGCCCGGCAGGGACGCAGCGGGCGCCCTAGGCCTCTTTACAGTGGGCCTGGGGCCGCTAAACGCCGTTAGTCACCTTGTCTTGGATCGCATGATGGAACGGACGTGGACATGGACGTATCTTGGCCAGTAGGCAGTTAGCCTCACGACGGATGATGAGCAGTTCGTAATTCGTGATCAAGGCTAGCAGAGATGAGAGGGAGAATGAATGACTCTTGACTCCTCTTGACTCGCCCGTAGGGCTCAAGAGGATCCTGGCCTGCCGCAATGATCATCCACGTCGAGTTCAGTCATGCCGATGGGCACAAAAGCACAAGCCAGACGCTCGAGGCCCAGCAGCCAAGAACCTTCACCTCATCGTGCATGATGCCGGGCCGGTCCCAGTACCAGTTTCCGCCCAGGCTTGCTCCGTTGTCACCTCTATTCAGGTGGGCAGGAAGGCCCAGGGGGGGGGGTTGGGGGTCAGGCGGCTCGGCCGATGTACACACGCCCAAGATGCTCACATACCGTGCACTTGAACACAGTGCGGTGCGATGGCCGTGGTGCGACGACACAGGGAACACAGCAAATGGGAGGCTAACGGAGCCGACCAAGACAAGAACGAGTGGAGAGTGAAAGACAGGGCATCGTAGGCTAGGCGAGGTGGCAAGGGTGGCAGGCCAGAACCGAGTCCCAAGTCCGGAACCTGGTGTGTGCGCCTCCCTGTGATCCCATGTCCTCGGGAGCAGTCCCCTCCCCCCCCCCCACCCGCTATCGTCTCTGTTGTTGGTTGTGTCATTTGCATGTGAGCTCCACCGACAGCACCAAG